TGAATGTTTTCCTGAGAACAAGGCAAGGAGGTTCACTTTTGCCACTTTTACACAACACTGTATTGGAAGTTCCAGCTAGTGCAATAAGCAGGAAAAAGTTGTTTGTTTGTTTTTTAAAGATGTTATTTATTTACTAATGAGAGACACATGGAGAGAGGCAGAAACGTAGGCAGACGGAGAAGCACATTCCTTTCAGGAAGCCCAAAGTGGGACTCAATCCCAGACCCTGGGATCACGCCCTGAGCCAAAGGCAGACACCCAACCGCTGAGCCCCCAGGCATAGCTAAGCAGGAAAAAGTTAAAGACATCCAGATTGGAAAGAAAAAAGTAAAACTGCCTTTATTAACAAATGATATGTCATATATATATCATATATATTATATAATGTATATAAATCCCAAGGGATATACATGTTTTTTAAGAATAAAAACAAATACATGAGTTTAGCAAGGTCTAAATACAAGATCAATATTAAAAAATCATTTCTAAATAACTAGCACCAAAAAAATCTGAAAATAAAGAAAGCAATTCCATCGACAATAGCATAAAAACAAAAATATGTAGGAATATTTTAGCCAAAGAAGTACAAGATTATACACTGAAAATGACAAAATATTGCTGAGAAATCAAGAAAGATCCAAACAAATGGCTAACATTATATGTTCATGGATTGGAAGAACTTATATTGTAAGAATGGCTCTTCTCCTCAAATTGATCTGTAAATTCAATATAATATCCATTAAATCCCCAGAAGGCTTTTCCGTATAAACTGATGAACTGATTATAAAAGGTATGAGAGTGCAAAGTATCTAAAATAGTCAAAAGAATTTTGAGCAGACAAGGTTAAGGACTTATTTAAGACTTACTTTAAAGATGAAGAAATCAATACCATACAATCAGTGTGGTATTGGCTCATGGACAAGTATATAAGATCAACGGAACAGAACTGAAAAGCTAGAAATAAACTCTTCTATTTATGGTCAACTGACTAACAAAGATGCCAAAGCAATTCAATGGAGGAATAGTCTTTACCACAAATGTACTCAGACAAATGGATATCCATGTACACAAAAAAACGGAATTTTAAAACAAGATTTATTTGAGAGAGAGCATGAACAGGAGGAGGGCAGAGGGAGGAGAATCTCAAGCAGACACACTGCTGAGCATGGAGCCCAATGCAAGGCTTGACCTCATGACTCTGCAATCACAACCTGAACTGATATCAAGTCGGATGCTCAACTGACTGAGCCACCCAGGTGCCCCTCAATAATGAAATGTTAAAGATTAACTCAAGATGGTTCCTATAGCTACCTAAGAGCTAAAACTATAAAACTTCTAGAATTTCTTCATGATTTTTGCTTATGCAAAAAGTTAAGACATGACTCCAAGCCTAATCCATAAAACAAATAACTGATGAGCCAAACTTCATCAAAATTAAAAACTTGTACAATTCAAGAGACACCACTGACAAAATGAAGAAACACCATATACTAGGAGAAAATATTTACAAATCCTGTATCTGATAAAGGATTGGTATCCAGAAAATGTAAAGAATTCTTACAGTTTATTCATAAGACATATAACCCAAATTAAAAATGGCCAGATTCGGGACACCTGGGTGGCTCAGCGGTTGAGCATCTGCCTTTGGCTCAGGGTGTGATCCCAGAGTCCCGGGATTGAGTCCCACGTTGGGATCCTTTCATGGAACCTGCTTCTCCCTTTGCCTTTGTCTCTGCCTTTCTCTCTCTCTCATGAATAAACAAATAAAATCTTAAAAAAGAAAAGGCCAGATTTTTTTTTTAAGATTTTACTTATTTATTTGACACAGAGAAAGAACAAAAGCAGGAGAAGTGGCAGGCAGAGGGAGAGTAATAAGCAGGCTCCCCGCCAAGTAGAGAGCCTGATACAGGGCTCAATCCCAGGACCCTAGGATTATGACCTCAGCCGAAGGCAGACACTCAATAGACTGAGCCACCAGGCCCCCCAAATGGGCCAGTATTGAAAAGATATTTCATCAAAGATATAGCTAATAAGGACATGAAGAGATGCTCAAAATCTTTAGTGGTCAGGAAAACACAAATTAAAACTACAGGGAGATGCCACGTCATATCCACGAGAATGGCTATATTCAAATAGAGACAATTGCAAGGTTTGGCAAGGCTGTGGAGAAACCCTCACCCTCACCTGCTTCTGATGGAAATGTAGAATGGTACAGCTTCTTTGGGAAAGCTCTTCTGTTCCTTAAAAAAGTTGAACAAACATTTACCATGTGATAGCAACCTTCTAGGAATCTACTCAAGAGGAATGAAGATACATGTCCACAAAGGCTTGTACATCATAGCAGTGTTATTTGTAACAGCCACAAACAAACTGGAAACAATCTAAATATTCATCAGTTAGTGAAAAAAATTGGTTAAACAAAATGTGGCATATCCATGCAGTGGAATACTATTCAGAAAGAACAAAACATGCCATAGCATAGATGAACCTCAAAAACATTCTTAAGAAGCCAGACACAAAAGACCACATTTTATAGGATTCCATTTATTTTTTTTTAATTTTTATTTATTTATGATAGTCACACAGAGAGAGAGAGAGAGGCAGAGACACAGGCAGAGGGAGAAGCAGGCTCCATGCACCGGGAGCCCGACGTGGGATTCGATCCGGGGTCTCCAGGATCACGCTCTGGGCCAAAGGCAGGCGCCAAACCGCTGCACCACCCAGGGATCCCTAGGATTCCATTTACATGAAATGTCAAGAACAGGCAAATCTAGAGACAGAAGGCCTGAGTATGAGGGTGAGAGCGGAGATTTAACTGCCCACAGGCATGAGGGAATTTTTTTAAATGGTGAGAATATTCTAAGATGGGATAGCGGTGGCTGTGCAATTCTATTTACCAAAAATCTTTTGAGCACTTCAAACAAGTGAATGTTAAGGTCTGCAAACTATGCCTCAATAAAACTATTAAAAAGCCAGTGATGTGAAATGGAGGAAGAGGAGAGAAGCATGATTAGGCAACCTTCTGATCTGATACACCCAAGTGTCCTCAAGTTCAAGAAACATAGTTGTTAGGCCTCCTCTATGTGCCCGGTTGCTGGGTACACAACAAAAGACACAATCTACCAGGTTAAGATAGGCAAAGAGGTCATGGCCCTGATGGCATAAAGAATGGGGAGCATGCATAGAGAAGGGGCACCAGGCAGACCAGAGTTGCTTTCCTGCAGGGGTGATATCCAAATGGACACCCTGAAGGACTATTTCAGGGAGGCCGAGTGGGGAAAAGTGCCAGGTTACAGTGGCCTTCTATGCCATGCTATGGAGTTTGGGTTTTTATCCTAACTGCAAAGCTGGAAAAAGAGAATACGGAACGGGGCTCAGCTCCATTAGAGAGAAAAACATCTGTGTACCACAAAAGATTAAATTGGGAACAGCAAGTCTGGGCTAATTGCCACGAGAACTGTGTGATCCCTTGGCCAGTTCCTGGTTGTACAATGTTATGTGATCATGAGCAGTAACAGAAAACAGCAGTGCTCACCTTTGGGGCAAAGAGGAGTGGTTTCTGCTGTTTGTTGTGAGGGGAAGAGTCCACGGAACTACAACAAAAGGACTTGGGAAGTCAAGCAGAGGAATAAAGCTCACAGTCCACTTTTCATCCATAGGCTCTTTGGTTCTGAGCAAGAGAGTATAGATGCCATGAAAAGCACTGTTCTTATTTTAGGGACCAGTGATCTTTCTTTTTCTTTTCTTTTTTAAGATTTATTTATTTATTCGAGAGAGAGAGAGAGAGAGGCAGAGACACAGGCAGAGGGAGAAGCAGGCTCCATGCAGGGAGCCTGATGTGGGACTCAATCCCAGGTCTCCAGGATCAGGCCCTGGGTCGAAGGTGGCACTAAACTGCTGAGCCATCCAGGCTGCCCTGCCAGTGATCTTTCTCCTGCAGCACTGAGCCCCCAGATAACCTGGCTCCCTCTGCTTCAGCATAGAGATGTTGCTTCTATAATCTAAGGTCTGCATAGTACCAGGCCCCCTTCACACTGGGCACAAGGCTGGATGGAACAGCTGCTTCCAAAGGTCAGACACTGCTCCCATCTAGTGAGCTAGACTGAGTGTGGAAATCTGGTCTTAATTCTTGACACCACCACCAGTTAGCTGATGAATAGGTCAATTATTCAGCCCTTCTGAGGCTGTTTCCTTATACTAAAATGAGCCACACTACCTGCGAAGTCCCGGTGAGAATCAATAGCACTTATGTGTGAAACATGTGCTGGTGGGATGTATGTGGGAGAGACCTACTCTTCCAAAGACTCGAAAAAATAATGTTGCCATTCACAAATAATCATTACCTGATGGATAGTCAGTAGCTGACTTTTGGAAAAGTGTGAATGAAGAGTTTCCTGACATCCACAACCACAGTAACCAGGGTGTAATCTCAAGAAGGCAGCTCTGGAATGCAGCTGCATTTGGAGAAGTAGAAACTAAACACAGGAGTCCAGTTCTCTCACACTTTGAGAAGCAAACCACCAGAGAAATTTGCCTGCACTGGAGTGCCCGCACTGCACCCTAGCCATAGGTCCCTGAGGAGGGACCTATGAGTGAACGTGTGGTTTAAGAGTTTGCTAGTGACTTTTATGTGCACCAAAGTTAAGCACCTCTGGCCAAGAGTTTTAAAAAGGTGCTGGATATTTTGGTTCGAGACAGTCAACAGGCCAGCCACATTCCATCAGGGGACTTGTGTTTTATGGCACTGAGTGAAGAAACGGGGAAATCTACGAGTGCTGATCTGAACAGCAGTAAGTATATAACATGCGTTATTTTTCACCCGAATCCATGCTTATAAAATACACACACGCCTCTCCAAAGACTGCTTTTGCTATATATCTGGCTCTTCTCTTATTTTCACAGGAATATTTTTACTTTGTCCAATGTAGTTTTTCACTGAAATGCAATAAAAATGATTTACTTCTAATATTTAAAAAATAAGACAAGAATGAACAAGAAGGTATTAGGAGTGTACTCTTTATTTCTCTTTGGTTTTTTTTTTTTTTTTTTAACACAAAAGACATGCCTTCTATAAATAAAAGGAATAAGATTTGCTGGGAGACAATGAAGGGGGGGGAGCAGAATTTCTACCCACTCCTATCTCTGTGGCTGAGTCAAAAGGCTGGTCTTCAGCTCCCATCCTGGCTTTGATCTCAGGTGAAATGTGGAAGACAAGGCTCTGTATGTTATCTGGGAAGGGGAAATGCCCAAGGACAGTGATGCCACAGTCCCATGCTCAGAGCTGGGCTAGATTCCTAGGTCCACTGAGCACGGCATCTCTCCCACCTGCTGGTTACACCCTTTTCACGATATCCTGGGGTGATGACTTCTCTTCATGGGCTCCTGGAAAGGCTCCAACACCAAAGAGCCAGCCCAGCCATTTGCAAACATCCCCTCAGACTGAGGAGCTGACTGCTGAAGAGTGTGAAAATGTTGGGTGTTGGCTCCCTTGTGCTCAGAGCCCACCCAGATCAAAACACCGGCCTCAGGTGCAGCAGTGTAACTTCTGCACCAGGAGGTGGGAGTGGAGTTAGGAAGGTTAATACAAGAGCAGAAGATCATGGGGAAATGACCTATCAGCCTCAATGGCAAAATGTATGCCACTGTCCTGAGGACCTGGAAAGCCCACTTGTTAGCCCACTGACTGATCCTTAACCCCTTCACAATCTGGGCTGGCGAGGTCTGCTTCTAGTTCACAAAAGGGGTTATAACAAGATGGGTACTGACACACTCCTCTCTAGCAGGAAACATAGACCTACCCACTGCCTTCTGAGTCTACCTCTGTAGGCAAACCAAGAGGGAGGGAGAAATGCTGGGGCTAAGCTATATCAGGTTGTTGGGGCTTTCAAAATAAAAACATCATTTTCAAGTGCTTGCAGCAGAGGCCCAGCTCCTAAGTGGCCTAAGGTACTTCCCTCTGGATACATGGCGATTGCACACACTCATAAACCTTGTAGTGCCGGGGTGGGAAAGATGTCTCAGGCTCCACACTGGGCCTTTCTGAACACGCTTCCAGGCCACCCCAGGCAGGCAGCAAGGGACAGGAGACCAGCCAGGTGGAGAATGGGGCCCTCAGACCCAGTCTTGCAATTAAAGGGACTGCATCCTTTTTTAGTCTGTACTGGAAGCATTTTAGAAAACCAGATTTTGGCAGCAGCAGTTGACAGACAGCCCCACTGCCCAGTGCACTGGTAACAGAAGTGTCCTCCTGTTCGGGTCCTGCTGTGCGACATTGAGGTCCCGTCCAGGGAGGAGGAGGAAGGAGCATGGAGTCTCTTCAAGAGGTCATTTGCTGAGATCAGAGGAAGAAATATAAAATTGGTTCTTTGCAGCAGCAAGAGATTCTTTAGGCCTTTAGCTCTTTGCTATAAAGTCAGCTTTGCTTGAATGTAAAGGTCCACCTTGCTGGTTGGTCTGCCAAGGGCTGGAGGGAGGCCAGGCCCCTGGAATTGGCGAGTGGATGGAGAAGCAGTAGACTGGCAGGGTAGACGAGGTTACTGGACCAAGCCAGCCATGGCTGGTGGAAGGACCAAGTCCCTGGTTAGGTTCTAGAGGTACAAATGGTCAATGTGCCCTAGAAGCATCACAACAAGGAAAATGATCCAAGAATGATAGATGGGCGAGAATCTGGCCAGACCTGCTATCTTCCTTGCTGGTCGAATGAGGAATGAAAGTGGGGGCGGGAAATATGAGTGAACACCATGGTGGCCATGGGAGGTAACCCAGGGGCACCTCGAGCCTCCGGCAACCGGCTGGGAACTCCCACCTAGAAGAGCGGCTGGCCGTAATTCAGCCCACTCGCTAAACCTACGGTTAAAAAAAGTCCTCTGATGGTGGGTGTGAATAGAAACCCCGTGAGCACCTTGCCAGAGGACCAGTCAAGAGCACACTGATCCCAGACACGAGAGGGCTCAGAGGCGACCCCGAGTGCTGTGCGAGGTCTCAGGACCCTGGGACCCGAACATGGGAGCGGACGCCACCTTTTTTGTGGTGGGCAGTTTTCCACTGAAACACATCATCGCCTTTAATGTCTTTTAACAGTTTCTTCTCCCAAAGAATGTTCCCTTAAAAAAAAAAAAAAAGTACTTTTCTTTCCAGTTTTCTTTCAAGTGTTTGTTTCCATTTCTTCTGGTTTCTTTCAAGTATCTTTTTTTCCCCCTCTGCTGTTACTCCTCAACAAGATGAAAAAACCTCGCTGAAATCCCAAAACTCCAGAGGAAAATCTTCTGTTCTCCCTGATTACCTAGCAATGAGGACTAAGTCCTCTGTGCTCCCAGATGGAAGAGGGAGGTGCTTGTACGCAACCTGCACATAGCTGTGGCTGCACCACCACAGGCAACCAAGACACCCCCATCTGTATCCTAGCTTCCAACAGGCTCAGCACTACAGCCACCCCACTGCAGACAGGCCACAACATGCATGGCTGGAGAACAGCGGGTGAGGAGGAGCGTCTGATGGCAGGCCTTCTGCAAGTGGCAGGTGGGAGCTGGACTTGGATGGAGCCTGTGGACGTGTGGACCAGCAAAGCAGTCCCATGGTCACCAGCTGCGGAACCAAGAGGGGCTCTGTTCCACGTGGTGCACCTTGGTGACCTGGGCATGAAGGTCCCAAGGGCAGCACAGAGAGGGAGGATGTAAGCACCTGGAAAGGCTGCACCTCCAGTGAGCTCACATTCACCCCATCCTCTGGTCTATCACCTCTCCCAAGAGGGCCTGTCCCCCGAAGGGAGTGCCTATGTTTGTACCAGATCCCTACCCCACCACATCCCCCTCTCCGCCTTAGATGGTGAGGAGCGGGATGCAGCCCACACCGACCCCACCCTCGTGACATGCCATGGGGGCCATGAATGTCCAGCGGTCCGTCTCCGGGTCATACATCTCTACTGAGCTGAGGTTTGATTGTCCATCATAGCCCCCCACGGCATAGAGACGCCCACAGCTGGCCACCAGGGAGACGCGACTCCGGCGTGTGAGCATGGGGACGATCAGACACCACTGGTCCGCCACAGAACTGTACACCTCAGCGATACTGAGGAAGCCAGAGCCATCGTAGCCCCCACAAACAAACATCTTGCTTCCCAAGGAGGCGGCTCCATGCCGACAGCGCTTGTTGAGCATGCCAGCTGCTGGGTGCCAGGTGGCCGTGTGGTGGTTATAGTGCTCCACCTGCATCAGGGAGAGAACCAGGGAGAGAGGGGCACAGATCCAGGCGTCAGAGCCAAAGCTCAGTCCATGGGGGGGGGAGCCTCTTGGGGCATAGTGACCCACGTGGTGGCAGAGTCCAGTGAAAGGCCAGCGTGTGCTCTGGCTGCAATGCCCAGTCCCCTCAACTGTACACCTGCTCTTGGGCTTATAGAGAGAGATCTCCTGCTCTGACCCCTCCTATTTTACATCTCAGGAAACAGGGTGTGGCCAAGGATGCACTGCTGTGTAGGAACAGAGCCAGGAGGAGAACAGGGTCTCCTGAAATTTGTCCAGAGTGCATTCCATCACAGCACTGACTCACTTCACGGATCTACTACTAGATGGCAGTTAAAGGTTTTTTTGTTTGTTTTTTCCTTACAGAATAAATGCAATTTCAAACAATGTATCCAGAATATAACTCTTTGCAAATTTACATTGTCTATAATTGAGCTTATTGTGAATAGGATTTAGCCAGCTCTCAGGCAGGATTCAGTGGAGAATTGAACGGGGGGTGGGGGTGGTGGCATGGCTAGCCTCTACCTCTCCTTTGTGCACACTGGCTCCATTCTTGGAAGAATCTCAGAGCACGTGGCAGATGGCCTGAAACCTCACTAGATGATGCTTTGCCCAGCTATAGCAAGGCTGAAGTTTCTTCCAAAGAACTGCCTTTCAAAATTATACTCAAAGGTGGGGGGGGCGCCTGGGTGGCTCAGTTGGTTGAGTCCAACTCTTAATTTTGGCTCAGGGCATGATCTTAGGGTTGTGATATTGAGCCTTGTGTCAAGGATCTATGCTCAGCAGGGAGTCTGCTTCTCTCCTTTTCTCTTTCCCTCTGCCCCTCTCCCCAAAATAAATGTATCTTTAAAAATAAATTATTCTGGGCAGCCCCGGTGGCGCAGCGGTTTAGCGCCGCCTGCAGCCCAGGGTGTGATCCTGGAGACCCTGGATCGAGTCCCACGTCAGGCTCTCTGTATGATGCCTGCTTCTCCCTCTGTCTGTGTCTCTGCCTCTCTCTCTGTCTCTATGAATAAATAAATAAAATCTTTAAAAAAAAATAAATTATTCTCAAAGATGGAAGGAGTGAGTGCCCTTAGCCCAGGGGAGCCCAGACTCACACTGTTGAAGATCTGCAGACCGTCGTGGCCGCCCGACACATATATCCTGCCCTCAAACACCGTCACCCCAGCAGCGCTGCGACTTGAGCTCATTGGGGTCACCACCGTCCACCTTCAGGAGAGAGCCAGATGAGGGGAGCCATGAGATTTAGTGTTGCTGTCCTCCCAGGACAGCTCACTAGGGTTGGGGCAAATGGAGTAGCATTTCCTCTCACACTGGACTACCTCCCCACTTCTGTAGGCACTCAAAATTAGCATGTCCCACACCAGGCCCCTCTCTTATAGAAGTGCTCCTCCCCTGCACTGCCCAGTCTTGTTAATGGGACCACTAACCATCTAGTCCTACTTAGATTGTTTACATGCTTCTCTCCCCCCTCATCCTCAACATTCCTGTGGTCACCAAGTTCCCAGTGATCTGTATTCTAGTCATTGCTTGTTCCTATCCCCACTATTGCTGCCCCAGCTCTGGCCTCTTCCTGGGACAACCTATCGCAGGCTCCGTATGGGCAGCCTGGCTTATATACTGACCCCATGCAGCACGCCCCTCGGGTGGCTCCTCACGGGTTCCTCAAGGCAGTCTGAGTTCCCTATGCAGTTATCTCTCAGGCCTCACTTCACTTTTACATCCTGCCATGTGCCACCCATGCTGGGTCCTCATCCACATCGAGCACTTTCCTTCCTCTGGACCTCTCCTCTTGCTGTCCCCCTGCCTATAATGCTCATCTACTGCTATCCACAATGGGTCTGCTCTCAGAGGTCATCCCTGCCACCCTGCCTCTCCCTGCCAGCCATGGTAAAGATGAAGGTGCTCCCCACCCTTCACCCAAGAGCTCCAGAGAGGTCTCCAGGATAGGATAATCACGATAATCAGTCTGCCCCAGCAGACTGGCTGCTGCTTAAGGATCTTAGACACCCAGCTTAATACACAGTAAGCTGGTGAAGTGAATGGAATATTGGCTGAAAAGCATTCTGATGAATCCATTCAACTAACTGGCTTATGAGAAGATTCAAATACCGAAATGAAAAATTCAGGCTAACCTTGCCAACTCTTTTCCAAAGAGTATATTCCACAAAATAAGATGGTGACAGGCATTATGTAAGATGAAATTAAACAGATGTCTTTACTACAGAATTTTTCAATCTTTAAAATGTTACTATGTTTTATGAAAAGATTAAGCATTCTAGTGATACAGACATCAATGTCTTCCAAGTTTATCTGACCAGGTAACATTTTTTGCTTCTCTGAATCACGTCCTACCCAAATCATACCTATCTTACTTTGGAAAGTGTTGTTCACTTCTTTCTCACCCCCTTTCACCTGCATTTTCATTAAAATGGGCTGATTTAACAAAGAGGTGCAGATCATTAAATAAACATCTCCAACAACCTAGGCAGACCATTTGTTTTTAAAATGTATTCAATCCTTCATTCATTTAACCAAAAGTTATTAAATACCTATTATATGCAAGGTACCAGAGAAGCTGAAATGGTAAGATATTCCCATCCTTGAGAAGCTTAAATCAAAAACTGCATAATTCTTCAAACTCTCTGTTTAACCAGTTCCAGTTTTCCCAGGGGAGCTGGAGTCCTTACTTGTCTGTCTCAGGTGAGTAGGTCTCCACAGAGTTGAGAGAAGAGTTGCCATCATAGCCCCCACAGACGTAGATCTGCCCATCCAGCACGACTGTCCCCATGGCACTGAAAAAGACAGAGCTGTCATGCAGAAGGGCCTCAGACATCCTGGGCCAGCCTTTCACACTCCCTGGGAGATCCACCTAACCACCAACTGCCTCTTTCTAGAGCAGACCCAAACCCCATGTGCTTGATTAAGTGCAAAATTGAGGGGGAAGCAGCTGCCCTGCAGGGGCCCTTGCTGGGGTCCCTTCTCAACCCTGGATGTGTCTGAAAGGCTTACCTTCCACCCTGCTGTGTTCAATCAAGGTCTAGTTACATTTAAGGCCCAGGCCTCTTTCTTCTGCTCAAAAAGCCAACCTGGACCCCTCAGCAAGAATCTAGCCCTCCTGGCCCCACGCTGCTGGAGTAGCTCCTTTACCACACCACTGTATGGTCACTCATTCACCCCTCAGATCCCATGAGGCACTCAGGAGGCTTGCTGTCCCAGGCCCTAGATTCACAGTGCTGACCAAGTCAAAGCTCCTGCCCACAGGTGCTTATTCTGGCACCTGGGGTTATGGGAAGCCATCTGTCACCTCTTAATAAGTGGGGACCTCCTGGAAGACAGGGGTCTTCCTCTGTGTGATTCTGACAGTGCTTAGTGCAGTGCTTTGTACAGGAAAGGCCTTCAATATGTGTTTGTTGCGTTAGCCTGATTTTCCTATTTAGTTCCCTGTGAAGTTTGACAGATGTCTTTTCATGACAGATATGGCCATGGCAGCCTCTACTTTTGTCTCAGTGGGTGACACTCTGCTCCCATTGTGCACTGATGACATGTGGCATGTACTCTATGCTTTGCCATTTGTCCCCCACCTCACCACACCCTACAAGGAAGTAGCATGATCTTCATTGTACAAATGAGCGGCCACAGCTGGGGAGGTTGGGCCTTCTCCGGGCTGCCCAGTGAAAGGCATGCCTCGGATTTAAATGAGACAAGCCCATTCCCATGCTGCCCACCATGCCCCACTCTCCTCAGATCAGAGACCCAGTGGTCTGGCATAATCATAAAATCTTCTGTTCTATACAATGCCTTGTGAGAAATTAAACATGAGTGCGAAGCTGGCCAATTCACTGTTTTCAAATCTGATGCCGGAGAAGATTAAGAATGAATCTGGGTGGCTGAGAAACAGGAAAATAAAATATATCAAGTTTACTGCCATCTTTCAAATGTACACAGCAAATCAAACTGATCCACGCAATGTCCCTTTGAGGGACACTGTAACAGATTCCCCCAAACCTGCCCAAAACAAGAAAAGACTTTTGCCTCAGGCAAGGACTGTGGGAAGACCACAAATACACTAGATGTGTCACTATCCTTCCAGAAGAGGACAGAAGTAACAACACAGGAATTCAACAACAACATGAGAGGTGTCATAAACTGAGCAATATTAACTATCAATCAAGTGGTAGAGGCCACTGTGAAGAGGGAAGAGGACTGGAACGGTCCACCAGAGGAAACACTGTGGAACACTGCAGGCGAGGGGAAGGATGACGGCAGAAAGGAGGTTGTCACCAACAGGCAAGACAAGAAAGCCGTGTGGGACGGCAGGAGAAAGAAGACTCAGAACATTTTTAGGCAGCCTATAATTTAAAAGGGATATAATGGAGCTGGGTCCATGCTACTAATAACAGGGCATTAACCACAGTCAGGGAAGGGGATGCCCAGAGGACTTTCCTCCCACACAACACTCCAAACTCTGTGACATCAAAGCAAGCAAGCTGCCCAGAGCAGACACACAAACAAGAGCAACTGATTGTAGTGAAAGCAAAAAAGGCACTCATGGCTGGGGAAACAGAGCAATGAATCACTCAAGGCCAGAAGGCTGGTAGGCACCTGAGAAGCAGAAAAGGGAAGCCCCAAGGTAGGGAAAGGGAGAGGAAGGAACCACAAGAGTGTTAGCTCAGGGCCTTCGGAGGAGCAGATGGCTTATACAAATTTTCTTTTTCCCAAATGAACCCATTTTGACCCTTTGTGAACCTGGTCTTGTTGGTACAAAGGCAGATTTCTCCGGGCTTGAGGCCACACACTAACACTACAGAACATGGTACATATGTCTCTGGGCCTGACACTTCTTTGTGGCAAAGGTCACTCTGATTCTTCTTCCTTACCACACATGCAGTCTCTTGATCTTACACACAGAAAACCCAAGGCGGGGCCAGATAAAGAGGTCTGTAGGGCAAATGTATAAACCACAGAATTTACAAAGCTGAGAAGCCCTTAGAGAACATCTGCCCCGGTGGCTTTCAAACTACCCCTTTCGAAAATAATTCATGTAACTTTCTCCCTAACGTTGGGCATCTGTCAGGGAAGCTCAATTCATGAGAAAGAAATGCAGAAGTATTCTGGTTATATGGGTAGGGACTACTTCCTCTCCTGTCAGTCCCGGAAGAGAAAGCTGAGTACCTCTTGAAACCACTGATTCAGGGTGGCCCCACTGAGGGCAGAAGAACAGAAGAACCTGTCTAGTTATCCCTCCTCCACAGCTCAGCCGTGCACATGCTCCACACATGCCTGGTGTAAGGGAAGAGGCCGCCCTCCCCTTGAGCACTAAGGTGGTGGGATAGAGGTGCTACTCGGATGCTCTCTACTCTTCAGGAAATTGGAGCAGGCAAGTGATGGAGGAGACAAATATCCAGAGTGTCTTAAGAGATACAAACTTGGGGGATTCCCTGGGTGGCTCAGCAGTTTAGTGCCTGCCTTCAGCCCAGGGTGTGATCCTGGAGTCCCGGGATCGGGTCCTGCGTCAGGCTCCCTGCATGGAGCCTACTTTTGCTTGTGTCTCTGCCTCTCTCTCTGTGTCTCTCATGAATAAATAAATAAAATCTTAAAAAAAAAAAAAAAGAGATATAAACTTGGTCTACCTAGGTGCTCACACCTGGCGGGGGCAAGTGGGTAGCCCTGAAGTGAAATGCATTGCTATGGCTCACATACTCCCAGGGTGGCAGAAGCACCCGTGTGGCAGAGATCTAGGGGGTAGCAGGGGGAAGAGAGTATAAAGGACGATACCTCTCCCGTCCTTTTATCACTAATAAAGTTAAATCCTCCATATTATTCAAGTTTCAACCTCTTCCCTGAAATCTTTCAGATGTTTCCATCAAGTTTTTTTCCCTTCTTGAATCTTCCATAACATACACTTTCGGTCCTTATCTGACACACTTAAATAATACAACTTCCACACATCTCTGCCTCATCTCCCCAAGCTCCTCAGAGTACAGGGCAGGGATTTTACTTTGAGGAGAATAAGGCTAGCTCCTGGGATGTGCTGGCAGTGGCTGGCCTGGCGGCAGGAAACTCTCAGGCCAGCTCGGGCTTTATTTTATTATTATATTATATTATTATTATGTGCCCTGCTTGTCTAGCACAGCGCTACCTTCTCTTGCACAATACCTTCTCTTGCTATTCATGCTCCTCACTCTGGTCCATGTGTCCATCTCTGGGTTGTAGACTTCCACGGTGCTCAGCCGGAGCTGGCCATCATACCCCCCGATGGCATAGAGAAGCCCATTTACCACAGCCACACCAACGCGGCTGCGGGCCGTTGTCATTGGATGGCACTTCTCCCAGCGATTGGCGATGGGGTCAAACACTTCCACCACATTCAGGGAATCACCTGCATAAAAATTTGCTACTCAAATTAAAACAAATGAGACCATGTGTTTAGATCACAGCTGTTGGGCATTGATTACATGGAATGTTTGACTTGACTCTAACGGTTCTTCCCACAGAAATACTCAAGCCAGATGGGCCCACTAAGACACCTCAGCCGTGCTAACCTCAAACCTAATTCTTCAAGGAAAATAAGAATCAGACAGGAAGCACGTACTTTCTAGAGAGGACAGTTTTATTATTATTATTATTATTATTTTTAGAGAGGACAGTTTTAAACTGCAGCGAGGTATTCCGCCTGCTTGAGGCCAAAGTGGAAGGGAGATGGACATACTACTTCCCCAGTGCAGGAGAGATGCCCAGAGAGAAGGGCATGGGTTCCCCTGCTGACTTTCACTTACTAGCATGCGACCCTGAGCAAGGTGCTTTGTATCCCCATCTCCTGTTCTCACGTGTGAAATGGAGATCATCTCTATGGCAGGGATGTTGTCACGATTAAAGGACAGAATAGGCAATGCACCTATCTTACATAGTTCTAGAACACACTAAGTGCTGAATACATAGTAGTTATAGTAGCCAGGAATGATGATTCCAACCTTACCATTTACAACAGGGTCTTTTTTTTTTTTTTTAATCAAATAAAATAATCCCCCCTCCCTGTCTTATTCTACTGTGGGGCACCTCACACCTACCACACTCCAGCATTTACTAGTTGAGGACTTCTCTCTTCCAGAACACATGGTTAACAGACATATGGTAAACAGACTGACACCCACCTGTCATTAACCTTCAATTAAAAACAAAACTCCCCAGGACTGCCCACCATCTGCACCCCTCCATGAGCCTAGGCTGTCACTGAGCAGAGGTCTGGTCTTTACATGGGAGATGCCACCTCCCTTTGCCTCTGTGCTGCAAAGATTTAGGAGCCCACACTCCCCTTCCTATGAAATCTCCACTGCCCTGCAGTGGTGCCTTGGGTGGGCAGGAGGGCCAGGGGCCTCAGGAGTTTGCCTGAAAACTTGGCTGGATGAGAGCTGCCAGTAACACACCAGCTCTAAAGCATGTGTGCACTGCATGGGAGGCAGCAGGTAGAGAGAAAGCATTATTACATATTACAGATGGTGGCAGACCCTGTGTATTTGCAGAATTTTCCTTCTCATGGTGACTGACTCACAGTCTAATCCCAGAGATCCATATGACCAAATGTGATTAGCCTGGTAAAAAAAAGAGATGGGTCTCTGCATTCTATCCAGGGCTGGTATTTAGCTGATATTCTGATTTGATGGTATTCATACCTGCTGTGCTTTCACTGCATAACATTAACATAACTGCATAATCTAAAAGCTGCATAAAATCAAGAAGGACCCGTGTGATGACACACAAAGGAGGGGAACCAGAGGGCCAAGCCAGGTTTTTTGGTGCAAGACAGGGCCCTGCAAGGGGGAGCTGCAAGATACCTGCTGAATTGAGGCCCCCCACGGCATAGATAAGGCCTGTGATGGACGTGCAGCAGCGAGGCCGAGTTCTGAAAGCTGGCAGGTGGGGCCGGCGCTCTGGCATGAGATGATAGTCCTTTGCTTCATCTACCAGGTCCCTGGAATAAGGTGCAGGATGTTATGACAAGAGGTATTTCCCCCATGTGGTCTATATTTGTATTTCCAAGCCTAGTTGCCCCACCCCCAACTGGAGGGGAAACCTGGGAGAAGAAGCCTTCTGGAAGGTTTGGTCTTGAACCCAAGTGAGTCCAGGGGGAACCACACACAGCTACTGAAACATGCTCAAAATCGGAGGGGCGGGATGAGCAGCACCCACCTCAGCTAATGTAATCGGAACAAGCATCTTCTAACAGGCACACAGCTGGCAGAAGAAGAGCAGGGTAGGGGCTACAAGAGCTGGCATTGGAAAGGGTCAATAAGCAGGCTGCATCCTGTCACCACTGAACTACTGAGACCCAGCTCTTCCTTCCTATCCCTATTGCTTGCACCCTGCAATGTGCCATTTCTCACCTACACTGGTAGCAGAAGCCAACTGCTCCTGATGGATTTCTCTGCCTCCAGTCCTGCCTCTCCATTCCACCCTCCACACTATAGCCCACGCTAAGAACCTTCAAGAGCTACCCATGGCCTACAGAATAAAGTTCAAATTCAACAGCATACTTGAGAGTGCTTGTCACGGGGCCCCACCTGCTGGCAGCCACACCTCCACTCCCTCCTGCCACACACCTTCATACCAATTGCACACAGCCACTGGCTTCCTCTGAACCCGCTGTGAATATGACAAGCCGTTTGGAGGAAGGTGAACATTTTCCTTTGCTGCTCTACTTTTATAATGATCCTCTTATATGGCTACTGCCTTCTGAGCTGTTTTGGGAGCTCTGCTGCACCATGTCATCACCGATTTACCCTGCATAAAAGTTTCACGTGCTGGTAAACATGCCCCCTGTTGCCCATCACTGTAGACAGGTCCAAGCCCATCTGACACCAGAGCACTAATGTTTCTTGGAGAGGATGAGGAGCCCCAGGGAGTCACCACTGAGTCAGTTCCTGGAGATGCTAGGAAATCCTCAGGGAGCATAGAGAAGGAAGCCCCTTCTGCCTTGATGCTCCCTCCTGGCACATTTCTTTGACTGAGGGTTCAGACTTGGGCTCTTCCAGGCTCTAGACGAGGAAGGCAGAGCAGGTGCTGTGAATTAGGGCTGACAACTCCAAATCCTTCCTCCCCTGAGCTGGACACAAATAGCTTTGGTGGCCAAGTTCTCTTCTCTGCCCAGACCCCCCGCAGTATCCTGTGCAGGCTGGCCCTCGCTCACCTGCACTTGTGGCAGCAACGCACCAGGTCATCCTGCTGCACACGGTCTGACAGGAACTGGGGTCGGCATAGGGGCAGGCGGATGTTGGACAGCAGCTCAGGCAGGCAGGGCCCCCTCTGCTCCCGGTCATATCTGACCCAGGCCAACGCAGCTTCAAAGACCTGCCATGGTACAAAGTTCAACCTGTGTAGTCACTCCTCTCTCCCAGGGGCGACATCCCCAGGCCCCCCAGTCTCTTTGGGCCCATCCATCTTTCCTCCTACTTGTCTCCTGAAGTCACTGCTTTCTACTTCCCCAAGCTGCCCCATTTGGCCCAGTCTTTTGAAAGGCAAGCCTCAGTGACTGTAACAGCTTCCTGGCTTTTATTCTGTCTTCCTAAAGAAAAGTTGCCAATGGTTCCTTACTCCTTTCTGCATCTCACCTCAGTGGCCTCCACCCTCTGTTTTCCCAGGCTGGCTGGTTCTCTGTTCACACTGTCCCCTTTACCTCGAAGGCCCCTCTTCTCCTCCTCTTTGTCTAAACTCACCCCACCCCATCCCGACTTTCCTTAAGGCCGGGTTCCAGATGAATGTTTTCCGAGCTTTCCCTAACAGCTCCAGCCACAGGGGTATGTCCCTCTAAAACCCTGACCAAATGTATCAGTGATGACTGAGCTGCACCAGGTTGAACTCATTGGTGGAAGAGCTTGGGACAGGGCTTGCTCTTGGGATGGGGTTCTTCCCTGCACATCATAGCACCCACACTGCCACACTCAGGGCCCACTTTTCTACTGCTCTTTGGACATTAGGGAAACAAGCTGAGTTGGGACTAACCTCCCAACAGCTTGCCTCTTGGAGTCTCGGGCTCCTAACCAGAGTTTTGTGACAGGCCAGGATTCCACACTGCAAACATCCCAAGGTGCTCTGCCTGGGGTTTTGGTCCCATCTTTTTTTTATCTATTCTTTTTAGTAATTTCTACACCTAATGTGGGGTTCAAACTCACAACCCTGAGATCAAGAGTCACCTGCTCCTCTGACTGAGCCAGCCAACCACCCCCTGGCAGGTCTATTCTAAATTTTTGACTGCTGATTTCATCAGGGCCTGCTTTCCACCAAGCCCTCTTCCTTTCCCTGGCATATCTATTTCCTCTCCTGCTCCCAGAGGGATGGCTCATGCCGTTTCATCTCTCCTCACATTTCTCACCCTCCTCCTAATTCTCATTCTCAGCTAAGAAAATAGAAACATGTCAGAAGAGAACATCAACAGAATTGGCCAGCATCTCCCTTCCCACCCTGGCCTCCCTGTACTCCTCCTGTGCGGGTGGATGGGCATGGCTGGTGCTCCCAGCAGGGACACCCCTTGTGACCTTGACTCAGTCTCTTCTCATTTACTCCAGGGACATGTGCCAGCAGCCATTCTCCCTTTCCTCCTGCATCACCAACTCTTCCATCTCTTCTGGAAAATTCCCACTAGGAGTCAAATGTACTGCCATTTCTCTCACCTTCAAAAACCAACCAACCAACCCTTCCCAACTTCATATTCAATACTAGAAATAACCCGAACATTTATGAATAAGGGGTGTGATGCTGATAAAATCAATTGAATGTTAGACACTAAAATGGATACAAAGCAGGTGCCTGGGTGGCTCAGTTGGTTAAGTGTCTGCCTTTGCTCAGGTCATGATCCCAGAGTCCTGGGATCAAGCACCGCATAGGGGCTCCCTGCTCAGTGGGGAGCTTCTCCTTCACCCTCTGTCACTCCCCCTGCTTGTGCTGTCTCTCTCTCTAATAAATAAATAAAATCTTAAAAAAAAAATAAAATGAATACAAAGTTCTTATGAAAAATGCACGTAGTATAATGAAGCAAAGCTGCACACGTATCATGGTCTTTGTGAAAGAAATATTAATAGAAAACAAAGATTAGAAAGAACAGCAGATGGCTACCACACTCTACAGACCTGCTCCTCTGACTTCACATTAAGCTCATCCCGAGACACCAGCTCCAGCACGTCTTCCAAGGGCAGGGCCAGGAACTCTTCTGACATGGACACATCCACGAAGTGCTGGTGAATGAAGCTGTTGGCTGCGTCGTAAAGCACGGCACACATCATTGTCTCAGCAAACTGGCGGACACCCAGGCAATTTTTTGGGTGAAGACTTTTGGCATGAGAAAAGATGAAAAGAAAAAAATGTAGAGGAAGTAAGTATGTTATCTTTGGTCATTCTCAGGTTAGTGCTGGGGAAAGCTACAGAATGGAGAAAACCCAGCTTTGCTCTTGGCTTGGCTGCAAACTCACTGCATGATCCCAGACGCGCTGCTTAGGGACTCAACGACAAAGGTTTAAAATGAAGACAGTTTATCCTCAGAGGTCCCTGCCTCTTGGGCCTATGGCTCAGTGCATCTAAGTGGAATGAGCTTTCTGGGAAGTCCTAGGAAACAGCTCTGAGGACAGAAGCATAGAACACGTGCTAGAAAACTTGTTTGCTTGCCTTCAGCCATTGACATTCCTGGTGGGACATCTACCTGGTCCCTAGGAGGGCACTGAAGTTGTAGAATGAGAGTTTAAACCATGCGGAGATGACTTCTTAACATCAGGACCTTACACTTCTTTTTTAAACAGTAAAAAGCTCTGAGTCTAATTGTTCAGACACCCAGGAATGACGGCAACTAGCTACCACTTGCTCAGTGTCCAGTACTTTGCCAGGCCAGGATCTTTTCAACAGCACTGCAAAGCAGTCATTACTTCCATTTTTATTTTTATTTATTTTTAAAAAAGATTTATTTATTTATTCATTTATTTATTTATTTATTTATTTGAGAGAGAGAGAGAGAGAGAGAGAGAGAGGCAGAGACACAGGCAGAGGGAGAAGCAGGCTCCATGCTGGGAGCCCGACGTGGGATTCGATCCTGGGACTCCAGGATCGCGCCCTGGGCCAAAGGCAGGCACCAAACCGCTGAGCCACCCAGGGATCCCCTACTTCCATTTTTAGATGGAAAACTGAGGCTCAGAGAAATGAAGCAATGTGCTCACAGCCCTCTACAAGCAAGTGGTGGTGCCAAGACTGAACCCTGTGTGTGTTCCCATTACCCAGAGGCAGATCGGCCCTCGCTGGGGCCCTCTGAGTAAATCAGGCCCTGCATCGCACCAGGTGAGGCAGGAGGGTTCCTCGGGTGTCTGTAACAGTCTCACCTGGAAAAAGGTGAGGAAAACAGCTATCCAGCTCCTACAGCTGTAGCCATGTGTAAGCAAGAATGTAACAAAAGCACTCAGCATGATGCCTGGCATGAAGTTGGTTGCTGTCTTAATTTTTATCACAGGTTTTTTTTTTTTTTTTTTTTTTTTACTATTACTGCATCTGACAAAATCTCAGGTGAGCCCAATGTGGTTCTGAAATCTTGGCGACAGCAGGAGATCCTGGGGATGGGGCTTTTCTTATTTTGATTTTGTGACTGATACTCCTTGGAGGGAGAGGGTATTTATCAGATGGAAACTGCCTAGGTTTTACTAGAATGCTTGCTTTCTTTCCCATGCTGTGTTGCTTAAAGTTACAGGTAGAGTTATACTCACTAGCCATTGTCCCCCCCCCCCCCCCCCCAGCAGCACAGCCGAAGGGCAGAGTCTCTCAGGAGCCTGGCTTTGGGATAATCTAAATTCCACAAGTTGTTGCTTCCCTTCTAGCCTGAACTGGCTTTGTCCATTGCCTTGGAGACCTACATGCATTTCCACTAAGGACAGGGAAGCATGAGCACCAACAATGAGGCAAGGCAGCGTGGCCAGTGAGGAACACCAGGCTCAAGGTCAGAATGCCAGCTCAGTTCTCAAATACCACCTTCTTCCTGGAGCATTTACAATGACCGAATAAGATTTGTTAAAAGGCCTCTACGTACATGTGGCAGTGAGGAGGCTACACCTTCCCTGAGCTTCTACACCTGGTGCCTCAGTGATACTGATTGCTGTGACATCAACTCAAGAGGAGTCAGTGCCATGGACTGGGAATTAGACAGAAGCCAAAGACATGGGAAAGGATGATCAATATGTGTGTGCCTGGCACACACTTCCACCCGCTCCCTCTCAGGTTAGGACTCCTATACCTCACCTTTGGCCATCTTTCACTGGCATGGAATAACAAGGAGGGCAAAACACACCTTCAAGCGAACTGGGCTTTTGCATAGAAGAGGATGGGATATGGGAAGGCTGCTTGTGAGGCAACTGGTGAGGAAGGAGAAGGGAGAGCTGCCATGCAGGAGAGGGCCCCATTTAGGAACAGGAGGAAGAGGGAAAATGAACCCAAAGAGCAGAGACAGACACACAGCTGTAGCCACTCCCCAATGGGCAACCACCTTTCTTGCCAGCACAGCTGGACTCTATGCAAGGAGGCCATAGAGAAGATGTAATGCTTTATCAGAGGCAGGAAGCAGTGACTTGAATTAAATAAGTTACTGACTTGGTTCATGGATGCATCCAATGTTCTGATTCAATTCTGAGAGAAGAGTTTTGGAAAATACACAGTGCCAGTGCTCACCTAAAAACAAGGAAGCCCATACATCTGAAGGCTGGAAAGGGGCCACAAGAAAAAAAAAATCAACCCCTACCTCATGGAAAACTGACAGCTTTACAACTTCTCTGTGCTCTGGAAAATTATGTCTTTTCCACTACTGCTCAGAATGGGTTCTCTCAAGTCATTAGTGATCACACCTTGAAAATCAAGGGTCCATATGCTTGTCTTCAAATATGGGTAAGTGGGCAGGGAGCAGGTGGGACGCCCTAACACTCTGCAGCCAGGCTCAAGGAGAAGCCACCCCAAGGAATAGAGGCAGTGATGGTAACTACTGGAATGAAAACAGAAAGCAGGTCAAGCCTCCGGGGCCTGTGGGAAGGTATAAAGACAGGTATCTGGTGTGAAGTGAGGCTTCAGAAGGGATTTTGCAGGACTGCATGGAAAAATGTTAAGGAAAGACTCATAATATCAGGCTTTGTGTTAGTATGTCTTCCTAAAATGTCATTGGTGCATGTAAAAACTCCACAGGTCTAAAAATCACTCTTCCAAGCATCTTTTGGATGAGAACTGCTTTGAAACAGTATTGAGAATGATGACCTCAAAAGCCCCTAGGTGGAGCTGTTGTCCCCTTGTGAGAGTGGCCAACTTAATTCTTTCCAGAATGCCTACTTAATCATTCTGGGCTCTGTGGGGAGAGAGAGATAAACCGAGTCTGGTCTGTGTCCTTAAGCGGCTCACAAATGAGGAGGAAAGACAGTGCGCCTCATACCCGCCACACACATCCCTCCAGCCTGACCAGAAGGCATCCCAGGGCAGGGTCAAACCAGGCTCTGCGACTACACTGTCATTATGTGGCCTTCATCTATAAAACCTGAAACAGGACCACCTGCCTCACAATGAAACCACTCACCCTGCACCCAGCAAAGAGTGCCCTGTGTGCTGAACATCATTATCATGGTTATTAAGACTAGCTGCACTCACAGCAGTCATCAGTGATGTCCATGATCATCATAGGGGCAGGATGGGGAGAGCAGGTGGGGTCCAGAGAGGTGCTGAGTGAAGTGGATTGGTGGGACAGGAATGGGAGAGGGAGAGGTCACTCTAAAAGGCAATGAGGTTCAGGAGAGCAGATTTGAGATGGGAAAGAATGCTGGTCTTCAGGCCACGGACCTTGTGATCACAGTAGCTCAGGTGGAGGCCAGGCCTTGGAGAGTACCACAGACAAAGACTATGTGGAGCCCTGCACATTATAACCTGCACCCCCAAGTCCCAAGTGGGTAACAGGCAGCTTTTACATTATGGCTAGGAGTTCTTCCTCTTGAGGGGGAGAAAGAGCCTTGTTATCTGCTCAGTCATCAATAAGTCATTGCTGAATGCCAGACCTAGGGAGGGATATACTTCATGGTCCTTACCCTAAGACAGAATACAGTGATTGCTTCTAGGAGACTAAAGGGGAAAGAGCATTCCAGGAGCTGAAATTTGGGAAGGAGGGCCCTAAAGAGCTAAAGGAAAAAGAAGTCAAGACATCAAGGCAGGAGAAGGATCTACACAAGATGGAGACAGGCTATGGAATAGTGAGGCAGCATGGAATCTGTTGGTTTGGTGAGAACAGTCAGCTAAATCAGTAACTGGTCAAACTGGAAGACAAGAAGAAGAGGTACATGTCAGGCCAGGAGAGAACACAGGTATGGGTCCATGAATACGTTCCTCAAAGGTTCACTCCCAAAAACCTGGCCACTGCTTGACCACAATTTGAAGAAAGGTAATTTCTGCAGAGTCAGCCCCCTAGCTCACTCCCTTCATAAAACTCTGTGTGCCCGAAAGACTGAGCAAACTGGGAGGGGGTTCCATGAATGACAGCGGCGCACGCCCTATCACGGGCCAGGTTCATGGCCTCACCGTTCTCGGAGGAACGTGCAGCAGGCGTCCTTGATGCTCTGCAGCTGCAGGAAGCTCGCCCCCATCAGCAGTGACTGCACGTTCTGCTGGTCAATGGCAAGGTGGCCGTTGTAGGCAAAGTTGATAAGAGCCTCCAGGGCGCTAGAGAAAGGAGGAAAGATTTGCTTCAGAGACTGGCCCTCACTGAGTTGACACACTTACCTGGGGAATGCTCTAAAACCCATTTAGCCCATACCTTTCAAGAATCTGAGAGGAATAATGACTTCACCAGAGGCGAAGACTCATTCTACTTCTTAAGCTGTCTTTATTGCCCAAATAATTTTATTATAGAAAATTCTAAAAAGAGAAAGCAAGTACCCACAATCTCACTACTGAATGAGCCAAACAGTGGTTACTTTTGAGGGTTCACTTTCTTCCTATTTTCCTGCATGCATAAATAGTATGGAAATAATCACAAAATACTTATCAAGTCCTTTCCTATGTTGCTATAATGTCGTCATGTTTATCATTTTTAGGGGTTGCTATAAAGTATTTTAACACATAAATATGCTATAATTTATTTCCTTTATTGGTAGACCTAATAACTAATAATATCTTATTGCCTTCATAAATAATGTTTTTATTATTTTGAGGGGATATATTTCTAGAATGAGATGCCGACAAATTTTTCTGCCTTAAAATTCTGGGAAAGGCACTCCACCAGGAAAGAACTACAAGTTCCATCTCAGGGCTGTATGTGGTCTGGCCCCTCTCCGGCTCTCTGACCTTGTCATCTTCCATTTTTAGCCCTTGCTCTATCCCAACATGCCAAACACATTCTCACCGCAGGGCCTTTGCACTGCCTGCTCCCTCTGTTTGGAGGGCTCTGACACCAGACAGCTCACTCTCACTTTGATTATGGTCTTGGCTCAAACGTCACCTCATCACAGACACCTTCCCTGATCACCCTGAACAGCAAAGACCCCCACCATCACTCACTTTACTTTTCTTGCATCACTTTTACTTGCCTCCCTTATTGTGCATGTGTGCAGTTATTGCCAGATCCCCCCAACTAGAAAGTTGGCACAATTAGAGGCACAGTTTTCTCGGGGCTATATCTCAGTGCTTACAGTAGCACACATGACAGGTGTCCAGTCTACTTCTGCTAAATGAAGCACTTGAACTGTGCATGGCGAGGAGCATAGCTCCTTCAGATACAGACCTCAGAGAAGAGCGTGTACAACTGCCCTTGCAGACCCACTTCTGTGTCTTTCCTTATAAGTAGCTGGCCTTGGAGTGGGTATATAAATCCTCTCCATGTGCTGGGGCAGATCACTTTCAATCATCCAGAGGGTACTACAGTTTCTTGGCTCCTTTACCCCTAGTTTCCACCACTATGACATTAAGAAGGTAAGCAACAGATGACAGGTTATTGGCTGATGTTTTAGAGTCACTGGTTTATTGTTTCTCCTCTAACAAGAATGTCATTGCTCCGAATCACCCTGTGTGTCTTGTTTGCTACTGCATTCCCAGACTTCAGAACAGTGCCACGCACATAGTAGGTGCACAGTGGAGCCTTGCATATAGCCTATGTTATAAACATACAGCCTCAGTTCATAGACTTGCAGCAAAATCAAACACAGAATCAGTCATATAAACATCCTTCTCCTTTTCAAAGCCCAAAAAGGCATACTATGAAATATGTTTATATAAAGTCTTCATACAGTAATCAGGAAAGTATTTCCATGAAGAGGGTTCAGTAGTAAGCGACTCTACATGTCAGGACAACTTTAAGTAAATACCTAAATGACATGATTTCAGTGGTTATGGTACTCCCTCTTGCCCCTAACATTCATCTAGAGCAAAATTTCTTAGTCTTGGCAGGACTAATATTTGTGGCCAATAACAATTTGTTAGGGAGGGCTGTCTTGGACGCTGAAAGGCATTTAGGGGGGTAACTTTTGGGCTTGACCTCTTTGGGCTTCCATTTTTCTCAACCATCAAATAACCACGATTTTGCCATCTTCTGAGTCTGTGTTGTCCCATATATATATAGTAGCCACCAGCCACACATGGCTATTTGAAATTATTTTTAAATTAAGCAAAATTTAGAATTCAGTTCCTTAGTCCCACCAGCTAAAATTCTGGTGCTCAGCAGCTACATATACATATGGTTAGTGGCTACTATTCTAGAGGGTACAAATACAATGTTTCCATCAGTGCAGGGAGTTCTAACAGACAACACTGTTCTAGATTGATGGGAAGAGCACTGAATGAAGACACTTAGTTGAAAAACTATTTTGCCAGCTATAATGGTTAGCACAGGAAAGTGCATAGAACATTCAACCAGCTTTATACCCAATTCTAATTATAACAAGTATCTTGGATGCTATATCTCAGTGCTTACAGTAGCACACATGACAGGTGTCCTATTAAATGTGGTTCTCTAATAGAGTAAAAACACATCGAAATTGCTCCTTGATTTAACTCTGTCTCAGGCCACCGACTGAGGTTCTAACTGGTTTCCTAATCACCCACTGTGTGCATGGAGCTGTGCGAGAGGCTGTGTCCCACCGTAGGCTCCCCAATGGCGCCACATACAAGGGCTGAAGCTGTGCCTGGGAAGCTATGGACTGAGAGACCTAGGGGAGAAATTGTACCTGGGGTCCATTCCTTGCATTACAATCTCATCCTGCTTGCATTCCATCATGTCATTTGTAAACATAGCGTGGAAGTACGGGATTGAGGCTGCTAAGACGATCCGGTGGGCACTGAATTTGTGGTCCCCAATCTGCAGACAAAGTGAGATACAAAGAGAGACTCTGAGGAATGCCAATACAAAAAACAGCTGGCCAACTGGTCCCTTCCCTGGCTTCAGCCTCTGCCCATCGCACAGGTACTGAAGGCATCCCAGTACATGACAGCTGAGCTTATCACAGAGACCCAGAGATTTTCAATTCCACATACTTAGTTGCGGTAGAAGAATGTAAACAATACATTTTCGTGAGGCATTAAAATGGTTAAAAAAAAAAAAGCCCAAATGCTTCTAGTAGTAGTTTTTACTTATATGGCAGTCTCAGTGCACTGCTCCTAACTCCTCGCCAACTCAGAGACCTGATTTCTTTAACATGTTCTCCTAATCCCAGTTTTATTAAAGGCAGATTAGAAGAGACAAACTGTCCAAGAACCCTGGAACTCCTGATAGTAGGCTCCTCAAGAAGAATACACACACAGTGGCAGGAAGAGATAGGGAGAAACAAGACCAGACTTGAACAGGGGCTCATGTAGGGTGGAAGGACAGAGCAGGGATGGGAGGTAAGGATGGGGGGGGGGTCCTGGGGCAACAACCGGGCTGTGGTAGGCCACATGGAGCCCAGAGCTCCTCTCAGGAAAATGACCCCGGCAGCAACCAGATCAGACAACTGGTACTGTGTACTGGATGGTGCCCTGCAGGGCGCACAGGGCTCAGGCCACACGGGGACAGAGGCCAACTCTCTCCAACTTGTATTGCACCCTCCCGACAGACACATCTTTAGCCTGGGGAGTCCTATAAAGTGCTTTCCAACTATCTGCCAAAAGGATAGTCCTTTTAACAAGCCTTGCCATTTATAGCTTCTAGCCATAAACATTTCCACTTAAGAACTTTCTAGTCTTCGGAAAGAACAAAATAGTCTCCCCATCCCGCCCCCTAAATTCCATTAGTGAAATGCCAGAGCGATCTCACTACCTGATGCTCTTTTCTTTCACATTTATTTAGATATTCTAGTTCAGGTTCTGTCACTTCAGCCTCTTTGCCACTTTAGATTTATTATCTGTAAGCTGTCCTTCAAGATCATACAATCTTTAAAAAAAAAAAAAACTGCTTTAAAAAAAAAAGATCATATAATCTTCCAAATACCAAAGGATTAATGAGGAGTGATTCAGAGGCTGTGAGCTTCTCACCTAATCCATATGTGGCTCTGCTATTGGTGTTGAGGATGGTAAGTGGCTGTGTGCTTTGGGGGTTTTCATACTTAAAAAACATATATATCAGTAAAACATGGAAGTATTTCTTTTCTATTTTTTTAAAGATTTATTTATTTATTTATTCATGACAGACATAGAGAGAGAGAGGCAGAGACACAAGCAGAGGGAGAAGCAGGCTCCATGCTGGGAGCCTGACACGGAACTCGATCCCAGGACTCCAGGATCACACCCTGGGCCAAAGGCAGGCGCTAAACCGCTGAGCCACCCAGGGATCCCAACATGGAAGTATTTCTTAAAGTTGTTCTATAAAGTGTTTTTTTTTTTTTTAAGATTTCATTTTTTATTTATTCATGGAGAGAGAGAGAGAGAGAGAGAGAGAGAGAGAGAGAGAGAAAGGCAGAGGTAGAAGCAGGCTCCATGCAAGGAGCCTGATGTAGGACTCGATTCTGTGACTCCCAGGATCACACCCCGGGCTGCATGCGGCGCCAAACCACTGCGCCACCGGGGCTGCCTATAAAGTTTTTAAACTGGCAGTTTCTGGTTCCCTTATTCCTGCTCTCAAGAGCCATCTCTTTCTTCTGGTACTTATCTCTATCTTTCCTTCTTTTTAAGATTCATTTGATTATTTTAGAGAGAGACAGTGAAGATGAGTGAGTGGGCATGGGGGGAAGGGCAGAGGGACAGAATCCTCAAGCAGACTCCCTGCTGAGTGGGGCACCTGAGGATGCAGGGCTTGATCCCATGATCCTGAGATCAGGACCTGAGCCAACATCAAGAATTGCATTCTTAACCTATTGAGCTACCCAGGCGTCCTATTTTCCACCCTCCTAAGTAATGTGCCTCTAGTAATAGTTCTTGAATTTTCATTTCTAGTCATTACTTATAATATCATGTCTCCCAACAGCCCCCCACAATCCCTGCCTCCTGGCATTCATACCCTTGTGCAGCCCTCTCCCACACTGTCTCAGGACTGGTCTGTGTGGCTGACACAGTACAACAGAAGTGACGGTGTCATCTGAATGCATGCCACATTCATGGCTGGGTCATAAAAAGCACTGTACACTCCTTTTACCATCTCTCCCGGATCACTTCTCTTGGGAGCTGAGTAAAGGAATGACATATCCTGGGGAGAGCTGTACAAAAAGAACTAAGGCTTCTTTCTACCGCTATCTGAATGAGCCTGGGAGAGGAGCCTCCAGCTCCAGTCAAGCCTTCAGATGCCTGCAACCTCATGAGAGATCTCTGAACTGCTTCTGAATTCCTGACCCACAGAAGCTGTGTGATAATAGGTATTTATTATTTTAAGTCACTAAGTTTTAGGGTAATTTGTTAGGCAGCAAAAGAGAACTATTACATTACCTACTTAAGCCCTGTGATGGAAGAGCAGGATTTTGTTCTGACATTCTCTTCACATACAACCCCACTTAGTCTCCCCATCTTTCCAATATAATTATGTCCACTTTTAGTTAAATTAAGAGTTGCATTATTAGGTCTATGTGAATATTACTTGCAGCCAAGCCATGATGTATGCTATGATTACATTTCCTTTCTTACAGAATCACCCCCCCCCCGTGATAACAATAAAGTGTAAAACTCCTTTTAATATGTTCAATCAGGTACCCTAGCAGCTTGCTCCTAGGGTATTCCCTACTGGAACTCTGTCCTCACAGGAATCCCTTTCACTTCACCTACTTTGGAACCCATTTCCTGAAGTCCACTGAGTCCTCTTCCTGATTTATCCCCTTGTTCTGATGAAAAGCATCTTCTAGCAGAGTTGCTTAAGAAAGGGTATTCTATAAACTGTTTTTTGTTTTTGTTTTTTTTTACTCATAGCACTCTGACACCAAATGTGTGGGGTTTTTTTTTTCCCCCTCACACAAACCAATTTTCCAACTCTCCAGACACCAACTGCTATCCTCTAATATACTTCAAACCTGACATGAACTCCCTAGGGCTGGTGCAGGTTAAGGGCTCAGTCCCACAAGACGACCTCTGCTTCAGATGCCAACTGCAAGTCTGGCCCCCTTGTACTTCTGGGCAACTGGCTATAAAGTTGGGGTGGGAGTGGGGGGTGGGAATGTTCCCTACAACCTTCTCCTCAGATGTGATAATTTGCTAAAATGGCTCACTGAACTCAGGGAAAACAATTTACTATTACTGGTTTATCACAAAGGATGCAAAGAACAGCCTGCTGAAGAGGTAGAGAGGGCAAGGTCTAGAAAGGTCCTGAGCACAGGAGCTTCTGTCCCTGGGGAATTGAGGGGTGCCATCTTCCCCACACGTGGCTATGTTCACCAACCTGGAAGCTCCCCAATGGTCAAAGGGTGGGACTGGAAGTTCAAACCCTCTAATCATATGGTTGCCCTCTCTGGCAACCAGCCTCATCCTGAAGCTATCCAGGGGTCCACAGAGAGTCACCTTATTAGCATAAACTCAGGTGTGGTTGAAAGAGGTTTGCTATAAATAACAATGGACACTCCTCTCACTCAGGAAATTCCAAGGGTTTATAAGCTTTTGTGTCAGGAACTAGGAATGGAAGAGCAAATATTATAATAAAGGATGCTCTTATCACCCCTACCACTCAGGAAATTCCAAGGGTTTTAGGAGCTCTGTGCCAGGAACCAGGGAAAAAGACCAAATATGCATTCTTTTTTTTTTTTTTTTAAAGAACTGTATTTTTTTAAAAAAGATTTTATTTATTTGAGAGAGAGAGTGAGTATATGAGAGGTGAGAGGGGCAGAGGGAGAAGCAGGCTCCCCCCTGAGCAGGGAGCCAGATATGAGACTCAATCCCACAACCCTGGGATCATGATCTGAGCTAACGGCAGGGTTTAACTGATGGAGCCACCCAGGTGCCCGCCCAAATTCATATTCTTATTATATCACAATATCATAGGGCATATGCACAAAATGTCTGAAAATGTCTTTATTAGCCTTCAACCTGGGTGATAGTTCAGCTGGCTATAAAATTCTAAGTTGGGAATATTTTTTTTCCTATTAGAATTCTGAAGGTATTGCTCCATTGTCTTCTACTTTTGTCGCTTTTGAGAAATTTAATGCCCTTCTCAACACTAACCCTTAGTACATAACTATTTTCTCTAGAAGCTTTTAGTACTTTCTCTTTATCCTTAGAGTTCTGAACTCTTACAGGGTTACACCTTGGTGTTGGGTCCTTTCATTCATAGTGCTATCTCAATCTACAGACTTTATTTTAGTTCTGGAAATATCTTTCCATTCTATTTCTTTGATAATTTCCTCCTCTCTACTGCCTATTTTTTTCTCTCATGAAATTTCCATGAGTCAGGTGTTAGGTCTCTTGGAATGATCCTGCATTTTTTCACCTGTTCCTCATTCTGCACCTTTCATTTGGTCTTTCTCTTAGGAATCTTCTTCAATTTTATCTTTCAATATTTCTGTGGTTATGTTATTTTTAATTTCCAAAAGGTCTTTCTTGTTTTCTGAAGGTTCCCTGCCCCACTTTTTATTGAAAGAATCTTCTTTTTAAAAAATATTTTTTAAAAAAGATTTTATTTATTTATTCATGAGAGACATAGAGAGAGAGAGGCAGAAGCAGGCTCCATGCATGGAGCCCGACATGGGACTTGATCCTGGGTCTCCAGGATCACGCCCTGGGCCAAAGGTGGCATTAAACAGCTGAGCCACCCAGGCTGCCCAAAAAAAGATTTTATTTATTTATTCATGAGAGACAGGGAGAGAGGGGGAGGGAGAGGGGGAGGGGGAGGGAGAGGGAGAGGGAGAGGGAGGGAGGGAGGGAGGGAGAGAGAGAGGGAGAGGGAGAGAGAGAGAGAGAGGCAGAGACACAGGC